CGCCCAGAGACGGTTTCCAGGGGCAACTCCACAGCTAAGGCTTTATCGCTTCCAAAGGAAGTCGTCTGGTAAACCACAAGGGTGTCTTGTGTGTCTTGGCAGCTGAAAACTCTAAGGCTTGATTTTACATGACTCTTCATGTTAAACTGTTAGCCCACAGTGAAAAGTAATTTTCTGTTTTTGGAAGATTCAGAATAAAGGCAGGGTACCTGGCATGGTGTTCTTCATTTTATTTCTGTTCTTTAGCAATACTTTTTAGGCCATTTAATGCTTGCCTTACTGATATCTTTATCAGGAACTTATAAAGTTTAAATAAGAAAAATTCCTGATTCTCAACTAAATGTGTATTGCAACTACATGGGATACTAATCAAACCTTTGGTTTCCATTTTAGGACTTGGCTTCTAAGGCAACTGCATTTTTATCTTGGTTCAGTCCACTCCCAGTTACACCTGTCCAAGGCCCTGCTAGGAAACAGCAGCCAGATCTTGTCTGAATCCTGTAAACGAGGCTCACAGGGACACAGCTCTGAAAGACTCAGCACAGGATGCTGGCCAGCACTCACCTGCTTGTCATTTTGCTCAGTGAACAAACCCTACATTGCTTCACAGAATTTCAGATCTTGACTTTAATGGAATCAAAGACAAAACAAACATAAATTAGTTTACTGGTGGCAAAGCTGGAAATTTGAAAATTCTAGATCAGCTCAGATGTCACTACTTTAAATATATAATACCACACACTCTGCCAGAAAATATATATCCCCCAAAGCAAGCAAATATTTCATATGAACACTTCTGGCCTAATCAAAAACTTTTCTACAATGACTGGAGAAATGGCTCAGCAGTAAAGAGCACTGGCTACTCTTGCAGAGGACCTGGGTTTGGTTCCCAATGGCAGATAATATCCATCCATAACTCCAATTCCAGGGGATCTAGTGCCCTCTTTGGCTTCTGTGGGCATTGCACACATGTGGTGCACCTATATACATGCCAGCAAAAAGCTCATACACATAAAATTTTAAAAATTAGTAATTTTTTCCTATTCAGTCCACTTTTGTAAGCTTAGTACCATGTATTTTTACTTATTGAATTATGAAGTACAAACATATTTTCATTTTTAATATTCACAAGCATTAGCCGGATTTGATAGACTGCTGTGCTGTTACTAATGTGATTATTACATTAATTCTCAGCTAACTTGTAATTTTATATTTGAACCTATATTATTATTTTAGCATCTATCTTCAAAAGTCAGTTTGAGGAAAAATATATATTTTCAGGATGACTGATAATCATACTTGAATACAGTTGTAGCCCCTAAATAAACATGTATGTCTGACTATAATACTTAAATAGCATAGTTAGCTATTATAAAAGAGGGACAGGGAAATGGCTCAGTTGGTAAAGTGTTTGCTGAGAAGCATGAGGTCCTGAATTTAGATCCCCGGCATCCATGTTAAAAAGCCAGGTGCAGTGGCCTGTGCCTGTCATGCTGGAAAGCAGACTAGCTGTGTCAGTGAGCTCAAGTTCAGTGAAGACCCTTGCCTCCAAAAGTATGGTAGAGTGGAAGACCTCTGGCTTTGACAGGCTTGTACACACACACCCCCTGCCACAAGCCCCCCCGCAACCACACACACAAGAAAAATAACTGACCTGCGCCAAGTAGCTAATATTATTGACTCTGTAAAATCTTTAAAGTACACTGTATATAAAAGATGAAGATCTTGATGAGATGGTAAATATTCCAAAACTGGAAAATTAACATCATTCCTACTGACAGTGTTCAGGAAAATATGCCTCACTTTCTGTCTCAAAACAGGCTGTCAGACAGTGTCTCTAAATCTTAGCATCAGAGTAAAATCCTAACATTTGAATTTAAGACATACAAACAGGCCTGGTATAGTTCAATATATTATAATATACTTTTATTAAAACACCAAAAATTTAAAGTTGCAGTTTCAAAAATTCAGTGTTTTATGGTATATTTAATATTGTACAGACATCATCAGTAATTCCAGAGCATTTCTATTCTCCCCCACAGTACCTATCAGAAGTAAGTCTCCATATGCTCTCACCACACCCCTTCAAAGTGCTGATCTTTTACTCTCTCCATGCATGGGCCTCTTCTCACATTGCATAGGAACAGAGGAGAGCTGTCCACATTGCAGCATGCATCGGTACTTAACTTTTTAATGGCTGAATCATAGTTTATTATTTGAGAAATTTGGGTTCTTTCCACTTTGGGGCTATTATAAATGCTGCCATAAACATCTGTATTAAAGTTATGGGTAGATACAGATTTTTAATTCTTTTGGCAGATTGAGTTGCTCGGCCAGTTAAATAGTGATCCTATTTAACTTTTTAAGGAACTATGACATTATTTTCAACATCCATTGCATCATTTTACATTCTCGCTAGTAATCTATGAGGTTTCAACTTCTTTACGCCCACATCAGCTTATTACTGCCCTTTAAAAATTGTTAATATTACAGTCATCCTGGTATGTATTAGTACCTTACTGTGGCTTTAACTTGCATTTACAAATTGACTAATGATGCTGAGCATCTTTTCATGAGTTTACTGGCCATTTGTATATCTTCTTTCATGGGCTTATCAGCCATTTGTATATCTTCTTTGGGGAAATACTTACACAGATACTTTGCACATTTAAAAATTCTATCACTTATTTTCGAGTTGCGTAAGTTATATTCTTTAGACATACGGGTTGAATAACAGACCCTTGTCAGATCCATGGCATTTTCCTTATTATTTTTCATTTTCTTAATAGTGTCCTTTAATGCTCACTTAGAAATGGATGCAATCCATTCCTTCCCCCCACTGAATGCTTGTGCTTTGCAATGCATTAAAAGGAACTCACAAAAAAATAGAGGAAAAGAAACTCTTGCTTCATGTAAGACCACAGTGCTGTGTGCCTGGATTTCCTGCCTGCAGCTTTGGTTCTTCCCCGCTCTGAGTTCGTGTCTGAACATGGGGGAAGATGGGTTGGACAGGTTCATCACGTTTGTGAAATGAACCACTGAATGGTCTCGGTACTCTGGTTCCTTTAAAAAATGAGCTGTCTAGACACACAGGTTTACTTCCTAACTCCAAATTCCATTTTACCCAACCACACACACAGTTCCCAATCATGAATTTAGAAAAATTTGAAAATTCTTCTATTTTTTGATTGTGGGAAAGTGATATGCATTCAACTGAAGCCACACTTCCAATTTCACATTTGATCTTTCCCTAAGCTACTGCCATGCTGTGTCTTTGCCAGTGTGGGCAGCTACACACTAGGCCAGCCCTACGCTGCTGTCATGAGCCACCCATGCTTGACACTTAGCTGTGCTAAGTGCTAACGTTCATGTGGTCTGGTGGATACATCATTCTACTTGGCGATTTCACCTTACTTTGTGTTTATCAGGACATAACCCCACGGTGGGCTGAAGAGCATCTGTCTAGGCCGATCCTTAAGTCAGTCCATCGCTCTGAGTACTGTGGCATTAGTACGAACTACGTTTTGAAATTGAGAAAATTCAACACTGTTTCGGATCTTCACAGTCCTCTGTGCACCTGTATCAACACTAGGGTCAGCTTGTACACCTTTGAAAGAAAAAAGGCAGGTAGAGTTTTCATAGGGATCGCGCTGACCTAGTCACTGGGCAGACTTAAATGCTGCACTGACCACCGTTCACCACCTTCTATTTCCACTTGCTCCCAACACATATTCCATCTGGATTTCACTGTGAGAGGTATAAACATACTCCTAAGACAGCCGCTCCAGAAATAGTTTAATATGTTATTGAAGAAAACCAGATAAAAAGAAAAATAAACTCCACCTCAGAAAACAGAATAAGTGTACCAATAATTTTTTCAAAATATAGATTTTGAAAACTTAAGCTCCTGCCTTATATTATGCTGTTTTAATAATATATACACACATATTCAGTCAAAAGACTAAATGACACACTTATACCACAATGGATGATATATAGCTACTTTTCCTCTAAAACAATTCCTGTAAGATTGAATACGGGATAGGAACTGCTGCAGGCTAGACTGGGCACATACTGCGTGGCAAACCCTGGTCCTGAAACAGTAGCTGTCTCCCATGGAGCTGGGGCTGCCTGAACACCCAGATCCACTGAAGATTGAGCTTTGGCTTGAAGTCCATGCAAGGCTTCAGAGAACAACCCATCCTTAAATCATCTTTTCCCCTCTTTTTTTCCACTCTGAGAATATAATTAAAAACACATGTGTACAAGAAACAACGCTCTGGTTATGAAAGTCAAACAGAAAGCAGATTGCTGCCTGCGTTTGGCTCTCTTCTAACAACGCTTTTCAACTCTTATTTTTTAAAAAAGGTATTTTATGTGTATGAGTGCATTGCCTGCATGTATATAAGTGTACTCTTGTTGTGTCGTGCAATGCCCATGGAGGTCAGAAGAGGATGTTGGAGCCCCTGGAACTGGAATTATGGATAGTTGTTTGCTGCCATGTGGGTGCTGGGAATTGAACCTAGGTCCTCTGCAAGAGCAAGCAGCACTCTTAACTGCTTGGTCATTTCTCCAGACCCTCAACATTTATTTTGGAGACAGAGACACAAGGAGGTTCAAAAAACTATTCAGAAAGAAAGTGGAAGAATTTTCCACTAAAGGGACATTTATTAACAATAATAGAAAATTTTTATATGGTATTCACTTAGAACTAGTCTTATTTAGTCCTAAAAAGCTTTCATTCTGCTTGTGGTGGTTTGATTGAATGTCCCTCATAGGCTCTAAGTATTTGGCCATTTGGTCCCCAGTTGTGGCACTGTTGGGGTGGGTCATGGAACCTTTAGGAGGTGTGGCCATGCTAGAGGAAGCATGTCACTGGGGGTGCGCTTTGAGAGTTTTAAGCCTTGCTGGATTTCCAGTTGCTCTCTGCTTCCTGTGCCTATTTGAAGATGTGAGCACTCAGTTTTCTGCTATGGCCACCTCCTGCCATGCCTCCCTGCCATTATGGACTCTTAACCCTCTGGAACCATAAGCCAAATAAACTCTTCCTTCTTCAAGCTGGTCATGGTGTTTTACAGCAACGGAAAAGTAACTGATACACTGCTTTTTGCTATATATTTATATTCTCAAAATGGGGAGCTATAGAGCTGCTATGTAGAGGTGGCTAATAAGAGAACTGCTATCCAGAGAGAAGATACAGAGCAGCACTAACACAAGTCAATATTGTCTTATTTCCAAACCACTGAGAATGAACAAAATTATAGGGACCTACAATCTTATGATACAAAGGAAAACTATAATTCTCAAACTAAAGATTCACAGACTAAAAACCCAGACCTTCAGTGTTGTTGGACACAATATTCTGCTAATACAATCAAGCTGGATCATCAGGAAAGTAGCGTCTGCACTTGCTGTGGTGACCTGTGTAGAATACTCTCTGGATCTTTGTATTGGTTGACTGGATTCATCACAGCTGAATATACTTCACCATAGGCTCTGCAGACCAGCTCAGTAGACTGCTTTATGATCTGTTCCCTATTGATGAGCAAAAAAAAAAAAAAAAAAAAAAAAAAACCTTCCCTGTGTCCACATCCTTCCTCAGAATTGTAAGAGGACATATTTGAATAGCATTCCATTTTCATATTGATAACACAACATGCTATTTAAGAATCATCACAGAAATTACTTATTGATTTGGGGGTAAGTGTTTATTTACTAAAGTCTTCTTCATAGCTGTATAGATTCCAAGGAGGCAGGGACTATATTTTATTCACTGTTCAATCATTAGGACTACAAGAGTGCCTGGTATATACAGGTATTGCTTGACTTACAATGGGATTACATCCTGTGGAAATTAGTTGAAAATAGTGGAAGAGAAAATGAATTTAATATATGTAACCCACCAAACGTAGCCTAGCTTAAACATGTTCAGAACCTTTAACATTAGTGTAGAATCGGGCCATATCTTCTGATATAAAGCCTTCTTTACAATAAGTGCTGGGTGCCTCAGTTACCTTACTGAATATAGTCCATGATCGAGAATTTAAAGATCCTTCCCTTATGACTTCCCCTTGTGACTGAAAGGCTGACTGTAGTTACAGGCCACTGCAGCTGCTGCCAGAACCATGAAAGTGTATCATACTGCATACTGCTAGTCCAGGAAACACTGAACAGTCAAACTTCCTACTCAATGTGCATCACTTTTAACCATCAGGAAGTAAAGAAAAATAAAAAGTCCTAAATTAAACTATCATAAACTAAAAAACGAAAATCAAAATCATGCTAAACTATCATAAAGTAAGGGGCTATCTGTAGACTGTTAAAGAATAGTGACCCACCATCAGTGCATTGTTTTGGCAAAAGTAAATAATAACACACTAATCTTCAAGAACAAAGTCTATGTTATGACTTGAGTACAAAATTTCCTCCACAGGCTCATGTATTATAACTATAGTTCCCGGATGATGGCACAAACCTTTCCTCTTTAAAATTGATTCTCTCATTTATTTGGTAATCCTGAAAAAAAAAAAACTAACTCAGAAAATTAGGGCCAGGAGTGCAGTTGTTCCTTTAACCTGGCTGTGTGGTTCCTTGGCCTTGGGAATGGATTTGCAGAAGTGGGCTAGTAGACACCTAGAATGCAATAAAAAGAGCTTAGGTGTGATTCTGTGAGCTCAGAAAACCAGAGTACTGACACGAATGTGAATAAAAAAGACAGTAACTAATATTGGGAATTGGACTGTAGACCATGCATGTTTTAAACTGGCAAGGGGATCTGTCTGCCATTTTGTCCTTGTGGAGACATCGTATGAGTCTGAATTTAAACATGACAGACAATTTAATGTGGAAGAGTAAATTTCAAGGCAGCCCAGTATTCAAGCTGTGGCAAAGTTAGGTTTTTACTTTGTTGTTGTTGTTTTGTTTTGCCAGATTTACAGTGAGAAATGGGAGCAAAAAGCAGAGAGTAAAGACTTGAAATACTTGGAGTTTTGGCAGAAAAAAATACAACTAAAGCTGGATTCAACAAAGGTGTGGCTGCTAAAGAAAACTAGGGCTGGGGGCTGGAGAGATGCTCAGCGGTTAAGAACACTGGTGGTTCCTGCAGAAGACCGGGTTCAAATCCCAACACCCACGGCAGCTAACAACTGTCTGTAACTCCAGTTCCAGGGGAGCCGACAGCCTCTTCTAACCTTCTTGGGCATTGCGCAACATGGGTGCACTACCTACATGCAGTCAATACATGCATATACATAAAATAAAAAACAACACTACTTCCTTAAAAAAAAAAAAAAAAAAAGAAACTAGGGCCATTAAATGAAAGTGGAGTACTCTGCAGCAAGGCAAGGCAACAGGAGCTGCGTCCAGAGGGCTGCAGTAAGTTCCAAGGGTTCAAAGGCTTTAAATCATTTGAAAGACTGTGCTAGGAGAAGAGCCCCAGGGTCTCCTGAGTACACAGGGCCACCAAGGGAATTGTTTCCATACATTCAGTCAAGGCTGAAGTAGGGGCCCAAGAGGGTCTGGCTACTACTCAACCCTGGCAGCAGACTTTGGCATGACTCAAAGTCTAGATTAATCCAAGCTCTGATACTGGTTTTGCAGGCATGCAGAACGCAAGGTTTATGGGGTTCTAGAGGCTTCTGCCCAGATTTCAGAGGAAGGGCAGGGAGCCCAGGTAATGTGTAGAAGGGTTAGGTTTCTTACAGGAGGGTCCTGAGGGCAACTTGTGAAACTGCAAGGAGGAAGCTGACGCTAGAACGGAGACCCCAGAAGTTAGAGGAACCATGGTAGGAGGCATCTGAAGAAAGCTGTGGGCAGGGAGTGGAGCCAGCCCATGAGGGAGGCTGCATGGGCTGCAAGTGGCCAGACTACAGTGGCAGGGCTGCCCAAGACATTTGAGAGTTACATGATAAAACCATGTGTCCTGGATGCTGCATATGGGCCTGTGAATGTTTATCCTGCTAGGTTTCAGTCTTGCTTTGGTCTGATTCTTCCTTGCTTTTTTTCCATTTCTCCCTCTTCAAATAAGAATATTTAGTCTATGGGATTGAAGAGATGGTTCAGTGCTTAAGAGCAATGGCTCTTGCAGAGAACCTGGATTCAATTCCTAGCACCCACATGGCAGCTAACATCAGCCCACAGACCCAGTTTCAGAGGATCCAATGTCCTCTTCTGACCTCTGAAGGCACTGCATGACACAGGTGCACTTACACACATGTAGGCTATACACTCATACACATAAAATAAAAAATATTAAAAAGAATATTTAGTCTGTGTCATTGTATCTTTGAAGTTTGGAAGCTGTTTTGATTATACAGTGGCTTATAGTTAAGACTTTGCCTTGAATCTAAGAGAAAACATTAGACTTGGACTTTTGAACAATGGTAGAACTTTTAGGACTATGGAAGACTCTTGGAGATTGACTAAATGAATTCTGTATTATAAAATGAACACGAGCTATTGAAGGCCAGGGGTGGGATGTTCTGGCGTTATGGATTATACTTAAAATGTCCCCCATAGGCTTAGGTAGTCAAAATGTGGTAACCGGTTGGTGGTGCCCTTCTGGGAGGTGCTGACAACACTAGAAAATGTGGTCTAGCAAGAGGAAGCAGATGACTGGGGCTGTGTCCTTGGGGACCCTATTTTCTGTTATCCCCCCACTTCCTGGCCAGCATGGTGTACATTGCTGTTGTGCTCTATTCTCCTTGCCATAAAGGACTAAAACTTCTAAAACCATGAGCCAAAGTACATCCTCCTCTAAAGCCTTGTCTCAGCATTAACAAAGCTGATACATTCACAATATTTATTAATGCTTTTCATAATTTCCAGAAAAATTTCCAACAAACTGCTCTTAAATCTATAGGTCTTGTTAGATTTCTATTGCATGACAAAAGGAGGAAAGGTATGTTTTGGCTCAAGTTTCAGTAGTCTAAGTCCATGGATTTTTGGCCCCACTGCTTTTGGGCCTGAGGTGAGGCAGTACCTGATAGCTGAGGTACGTGGGGCAGGAAACCTGCTTCACATATGGCACATGGGAAACAAAAAAGAAAGACAGGAAGGACCCGGGGTATCAATGGCCCCTTTAGGAACACACCCTATTCCACCTCCATCCCCTAAGTGACCTAAGGTACTTCCACTGGGCCCACATCCTAAAGGGTCCACTGCTCTCTCACAGTGCCTCCAGTTGGCAATCAAGACTTTAACATGGGTTTCCAGGAGAGCATTTAAGATCCAACCCTAACAAGGTGCTAACAATCATATTTCCCAAATTTCCCTTCTCTCTCCACATCAGTAGATATATCTCATGTTAGTTTTCACATATGTGCTAAATAAATCACATAATTCTCACAAATACAGTTCTATAAAAGCACATAAATGAATACTAAATGCAATTCTCCAACTGCTAAAAACTTTATCCAGCTAGGAACTGCTGGGTTTATTAACTCTGTATCAACTCTCTCCATGCTGTCATGTGATTTACTACTCACACGGCACTATTTTACCTAGTTATGAGAATATTGCCACGAATGTTCTGATTAAAAAAAAAAAGATAAATATGTCTTTTTACTATCAAGCCTAATTTTCTTATAATGGTTCCTATATCTGTGAATGGCAAAAGCATGACCTGCCACCTTATCGAGGCTCTAAAACTTGCTCAGAGTACACAGAAGAGTGTTTTGGTCTTCCTACTTTCTGTTGCTTCCATAGACAGCCCATCACAAGCACTGCTGTTAGGAGGTAGCCTGAAACAGGCTCCAGCATGCCTCTCCCTCCAAGCATTTTCGTGGCTTCCTGTAGCTTCAGAGAATCAGCAGTGTCTCCTCTGCTACTCTGCACCACCGGTCATTTCGGTCACACAGCCTCTTTTCACCCTGAAAGTGCTAACCTCAGTTTCTTTCCCTTTCTGGATTCCTGGCCTATACTACCTAAACATGCACTTTAAACATCTTTCATAGTCTGTAAAAAAGAAAAAAAACATATTAGCACATTCATGACGTGTTTCATCTTCAAACCTATAAATAATTGCTTCCTTTTTGGAAGGCCCACAGCACTTTCTCTGTTCCTCTCTTACAGCCCACACCTCTCCAAAGCTGTATTAGTTTCTATACTTTCTTCTTCTCAGATCCTAATAGCTTTGTATTGAGTAAGGGATAATTCCGTATCAAACATATGTAACAACTGCAAGAGGACCCAATTTCACAATAAAATGTAGTTTTAAAAACATTTAGAATGACACAAAGATATGGTGTCCATATACTTACCCTACAAAACCTGAAGCAACTTTACTGTTCATATTCATATGCTCCTTAAAATCTAGCAGAGTTTGAATGACTGAATGCCCGTAGTAGAGAAAGAACTTTTTACAAATTTCCCTAAGTCCTGGGTTGGATGCTATTTCAGGCTGAACTTTTCCTTTACTAGTTAAGGGTCTATTTTTATGACTGGCAAGTTTAACACAATAGTAATGGTGCCAATAATACATTATTTTAGTTGTCACATACATCTATGTAATGAAGTCACAAACAACAGAAAACATT